ATAAATCAGTTACGAGAAAATCTTTTTCAATAAAGTTGATCTCGTTAGAGCGGATCATGGTCGTTGGGAAATAGGTGATTAATTCGTATAATAATTATGTTATTAGAAGATCGACAAATGAGCAAAATATATGAGCATTTTTGTTTGATTATCAGCATTCTACATACTTATTGTTTCTTTTATAGCTATTTTGTTTTCATTTGTCGTAATTCATGTATTAATTATATTTAATTCATAGATAAAGTAGATCCATGGAATATTATTTCAAAAGCTATATAATTTATAGCTTTTAAAATAATTATAATACAATCATAATAATTCATCATAATAACATCACAATCATAAAAATATTATATTATATTAGGATAAATCTTAAATACGCTAAAAGAATTTATGGGATGATCCCTCACACAAATTCAAAACGAAACTTTATATGATCACAAGATACCAAAATTTTTGGGAAAACAAAACTTTTTTTTAACTTGGACATCTGTATCTTTGAAATTAAGCCGTTTCAGACATATGAAGTTTTCATCTTGAATTTGTGTAAAGGATCACTTCTCACATTTTTATTTAAATGAACTTAATATATATGCTATATTAAGCAAATCCATAATAAATAAAAACTAATTAAAATGTTACAAGGAATAAATACTGCAGTCATCATAGGGATATATTTTGTTGAAGTACAAAATTTTATTGAAACAAATAAACAAAAAGCGTAACATTTTATATCAAATTTTATCTTTTTAGAGTATGAAGACGTACCAAAGCGTATGGGAACAATCAACAATCTGGGAAAATTTGATGCGGATTTCTTCGGATTTTCTGTTGAGCAAGCACATGCATGTGATCCAATGTTGAGAATGTTACTGGAACATTCTTATGAAGCAGTTATCGATGCGGGAATTAATCCGAAGCAATTACGAGGAAAAAATACTGCAGTAATAGTAGGATTAGCTTATAATGAATCACAAGTGAAACTTCTATATGAGGATTTTCAGGTAGAGAACATTATTGATAAATACACAGTAATTAATTTCTTGACTGCAAAAATTATAAACAATGACATTTTATAATTAGATAGGCGGCATAAATATTATTGGATGTAGCAGAGCCACAATAGCAAACATGATTTCGTATTTTCTGAACCTGAAAGGGCCATCTTACACGATGGATTCTGCATGTAGCTCTGCAATTCACGCCATAGCTCTTGGTTATCATTGCATCATGTCAGGCAAATGCGAAGATGCGATAATTGGGGCTACATCTTTATGCTTACATCCAATAGTGAATTTTCAGTTCTCACGTCTTGGTATTAAAAATAAATTAATTATAATATATTAAGAATAAATTAAATTTTTCATCTATAAAGAGG